CTGGCACATTGCACGGGGAATATCTGCCATTTCTTTCCGGATATTGGTCTTCAACTGGTCAATTGTGGCTGGGTTATTGGAGTAGACTCTACTTTTTAGGTATCCCCACAAAAAAAGTCCAGTGGTGTAAGATCCGGACTTCTAGGAGGCCATTCAATGTCACCTCGGCGCGATATCAGTTTCTCACCAAACATCTCGTTTACGACCGTCAAAGAGGCATTAGCTGTGTGGCATGTCGCGCCATCTTGTTGAAACCATGTCGCACGATTATAGGCTTCAAATTGTTGCAGTTGTGGAAAGAAAAAATCCCTTAACATGGCTATGTATCGGTCAGAATTTACAGTGACAGATTGGCCTTGTCGATTTTCGAAGAAGTGGGGTCCGATAATTCCGTGCGCTGACATGGCCGCCCAAACGGTTACTTTCGGCGAATGTAGAGGCTTTTGATGTTTTGCACGTGGGTTCTCTGCAGCCCAGTAACGGCAATTCTGTTTATTCACCTGCCCATTTATGTGAAAATGGGCTTCGTCGGAGAACAGAATATTGTTGAAACTCCGAAAGCGTTCCAGCATCGTTTCAACAAAAGCTCTCCTTAAAATTGGATCATTTGGCTGTAACTCCTGCACAAGTTGAATTTTATACGGATGCAATTTCAGATCTTTCAACAAAATGCGACGCAAAGATGTTCTGGACACCACAAGTTCGGCTGAACGCTTTCGAGTCAATAGAACAGGATTACGTTGAACTGAAGCTCTAACTTGTTCAATTGTGTCTTTCGTTCTTGTTGACCTTGGGCGTCCCGCAGGTTTCTGTTTGAGAGTCGAACCAGTAGCTTCTTCGGACACTGATTTAGGTCATGTAATCCAAACTCACGTCGAAATAAACGCCGAACAATAGCGCACGAATCGTGATTTTTATAATAATGTTTAACGCAGAAAGCACGTTACGCTCCCGTGAAGTGATCCACCGCGACTAAATTTCCGAGAACCGAGCTACTTAACCCCACCACCCGCGCAGTCCCGTCTCTAAAGCTTCAAACGCAAGAGTGTTTTTAAAATCGTACTCCTTTCTGGCCCACCCGTTAAAAGAAAATAATTTATTGACCTAATTTGTAAACCCCCTGCAATCAAATTGTCATACAACTGACATTGCGTTGTTAAAAGAGGTTTAAATGTTCGATTTAAAAGCATATAATATCAAAACATTTAGACACCTAAGTGGTCTGATGTTATATCAGGCAAAACCTTCAACGGTAAATTCGTTGATTGAAGTTTCATGTTGTTTATATTGTAAATGTCTGATGTTAACGTGTGATGACCTTTACGTATTGTAAAGTTACAGTCTATATCTGTACGTGTATTGTTAATGCCTGTGGCCCGGTTTCTCGCGTATTGTGAAATTAACAGCGAGTAATACCTATTGTCGCTTTTTAAAACTCCGCCCCTGAACGTGGACCTCCCCCACCGGTAGGGGGATATCTGCCATAGTCGTCATGGTGACTGTAATGAAAAATGTTTGCTTATAAATTTTTTATATCACTTTAAATTTTTGACTTTAAATTTTATAATAAACGCTCTAGAAAATCGAAAAATCATCCGATTTCGATTAGCTTTTTTTTAATCTTCGTTTCTACGAAAAAGACAAAGAAATTATATTCATTTTTTTAGTTTAAAAATACGAAAAAATGTGTAATACAATGAATTATTGACACTTGTCTACCATACTTGACGGGATTTGACGGGATTATAATGTTCTCTACAACGGGAGCTAGATTTTAATGTTGGCAACACTGAACCTAAGCTTAGATTATTTTAGTCCATAGGTTTAGTCGCCCATTTATTGTGTTGTGTATACGATACGTATTTCGTGTAATGATTTCTTATATTTAAGCGAACACTACACATTGAAATAATACTAGTTTTTACGGAATTTATCGCGTATATTTTAACTTTTTAACATATTCATGGAAGACTTTGAGGAGAAAGCCCTGCTTAGTTCTCCCATAAATCCAAGATTCTACAAGCGGTACGTAGACGACACTTTCACAATTCTACCTTTAGATAAAGTAACTGCATTTTTAGACCATCTTAACTCTATAAATTCTAAAATTCAGTTCACAATGGAGTTAGAGGCAAACAATTCCTTAGCTTTTCTAGATGTGTTAGTAATTCGGAATCCTGATAACACCTTGAGCAATACTGTGTATAGAAAAAAGACCCATACAGATAGATATTTAAACGGTGATTCTCACCACTATTCTTCACAGTTAGCTACCGTGGGTAAATATTTGTTTCAGAGAGCACGAGGGATCTGTGACAGTAAACACCTGGCTGCAGAGCTCCACCAGGTCAAGCAAGTTTTGCATGACAACAAGCTTCGAGTCCCGCGCCTACGTCACAGTGAACGAGTGAAGCCGGCCACAGTCGAGCGTGTACCTGCTGTACTGCCATATGTTAGAGAAGTCACTGACAAGATTGGCTACATCTTGAAGCGCGCTTCCATCAAAACATACTTCAAGCCGCTGAAGAAGATTGGTCAGTTTTTACCATCGGTCAAGTGTAATGTTCCTCTGTAAGATGCAGGAGTGTACAAACTTGATTGTGAATGTGGTATCTCCTACATAGGACAAACTAAAAGATCAATAAAAACCCGCGTTAAAGAACATATAGCTGATGTGAAGAATCGACGCTCCGGGAAGTCTGCAGTCTGTGAACACGTACAGGATCGCCCCCCGTCACTACATCAGATTTGATAGACCGCAAATCCTCGCTAAAGAACACCGATTCCTTCCAAGGATGATTCGCGAGGCTATTGAAATCAAAAAACATCCTAATTTCAATAGAGAAGATGGCTGGGTGCTGCCATCTGCTTGGGATCCTATAATAAATAAAATTAAATCCCAACCCAAGCATACAACTGCAAGACTTCAAGATACCATAAGTTCATACTGCATAGATCGGAACAAAAGTTAAATTTTAATCTATGGTAACCGCGGTTAACTATGACATGTGGACGTTGAACATCTCAGTCCTGCCCGTGACCATGAGTGCTGTAAAGCGTTCGAAACGTCGGGTATTTAAAAAGTTAAAATATACGCGATAAATTCCCTAAAAACTAGTATTATTTCAACGTATTTCGTGTTTTTGAAAGTTTTTAAGAACTCGTATTAATTCGTGGCTTTGACTTCAAAATGCCTAATTTCTGTGATTTGAAACAATCGCATGTTGCTCACATGTACTTTGTGTATGGTTTCTGTAATGGGAATGCGAGAGGTGTCGTTGCCGAGAACAGATGACAATTTCCTAACAAGATCATCCTTGGATATCGCTCGTTTATTACCATCCATCGACAATTTATTGAAATGGGTTTACGTCGGAGAAGAATTGAACCTGTGCCACGTAGTCAAGCTGTTCATGACGACGTTGACGCAGAACTGCTAAGGTTAGTAACAGCTGACCCGAGGATAAGCACTCGTCGAATTGCAAATCAGCTGGGTATAAAGAAAATGAGAGTGTTGCGTGTACTGAAAAAGGAAGGACCATTACTATATTCGAAAATTTACGTGAAGAAGACAGTACACCAAGGTTAGTTTTTTGTACGTGGATTTTACGACAGCACAGACTAAATTATAATTTCTAAAGGAAAATTTTATGGACGGATGAGGCCACATTTTCCAGAGCCGGAATAACCAACCACCGTAATCTGGACGTTTGGAATGATAAAAATCCTTTTGCTGTCATAGAAACTTCTTTCCAGCACGAATTCTCCATTAACATGTGGACTGGAATAATTAATGACCAAATTATTGGGTCATTCAAATTGCCAAGACGAGTTTCGCAAGAGGTTGAGTTTATTGCGCAAAGACCTGCCCCTTTTGCTACTAGACATTCCATTGTTAACAAGACGAAATATGTACCTCAAATTAGATGGAGCCCTGGATTATTATGCAACGTCATTGCGTCAATTAATCAAAAATATTCACGTTGGATTAGCAGAGGCGGTCCAGTAGCATGACCTACAAGGTCTTGATTATTATTTTTGGGGCTACATGAAAAAAAAGTACGCTGTGCCAATAGCTACGAGAAAACAACTGAAACTGAGAATTCATGCTGCTACAGAAATAAGAGCGAACTTTTCGGAAATGCACAGAATGACTCGAATAATGTCAATGTGGGAAGGTAGAGGTTCTTTTTTTTTTTTTTTTAATTTTTTTTCTTATTTATTCTTAAATATTTTAAAAAAAAAATTAAACTTGGGGTTGTAATTTTTTCCAATGAAACGGGTCATTTCAAAAACCTTATAAATTAATTGCTGTCTTTTTTAATTAATAATTTAAATTTACACTTGTTTTTATTGTTTCCTTACATAAAAATTATTTGCCAAAAGGTATTTTTTATAGTAAGACACTTAAATGTGCCACTACCCTGGTTTTAAAGGTCTACTCTATTTATTATTGAAAATTGGGTGCATATTTCAAGAGTTTGTACTTTTATAAATGTTTGAGATAGCCAGAAACATTGTTATGAGATTTTGTAGGTAATATCACGTAATTTAATAATAATTAGTAAAATAATAACATTCAATGGGCATTTTTTCAACTTTTTAGGGAAATTAAATAAATACAGGCATTTTTTCTTATAACTTTGAGGTAATTCATTTTTTAGTCTTGTTTAATTTTGGGTACATTTTATACATTGAATTGATAAACTACGATAACAACTGGTAAAGAAAATGAAAAACAAATGTAAAAACAAAAACATATCTTGAAAATAGTGCATCAAGTCTGGTCTCTGTACGAAAAAAAAACCTTATTAAAAAAACCAAACCGATAAGACCCGTACTTCAACGGTATTTGTTGATTATTGACGCCCGGCGGTCACTTCGCGCTGATGCACCTTGTATAGTATCTGGCTTATATAACAATCTTTGTAATTGAAAACATACATTCTAATTAAAATAAATTGCTTGTGTTTATAGTAGAATTTTTCTTTCTTTTGCAGATTTAGCAAAGCAAAACACAGAGCAGCCAGAGACGTCTGATAAAAACTCACCTCAGAAGATTGCTTCTCTAGCGTCCTCGCACATCTCTGTGGGTGAGAGTGGTAAAGAAGCGATTAGCTGCAGTTAGTTATTATGAATAGTATCACTCAAGCTATGGTAGTATTATAATGTAGTATTATAATATATTATATATATATATAGTTATATATATATATATATATATATATATATATATATATATATATATATATATATATATATATATATATATATATATATATATATATAGTATTATAATGTAGGTCTGTGTAGCCTACACGACACAATATTATAATATATTGATGTTAACTGTAGTAACAAGAGTAGTCTTGATAAAGTCCTAGTAAAAGTAACACGTCTCCTTATTAACGTCTCCCAAAATTCCGTGGCGATGCGCTTGCATTGTCGCAGGCGGTGCGGTGCAAGCGCAAGGCAAGCAAAAAAATTATTTCTATTAAAAATTGTTAACAGAATTAATTTAATTACAATTTACTGAATTAACATAATACCGGATATAAGAAGAAAACCTAAATATGAGATGAGAGTAGAGGTCACAATATTATTTTTTAAGGAGAAATGCTAATAAAGTCTATTAGATAATGAAGTAAAATGTTATGAAAACTACAGTTAAAATCAATCAATATAATATTAAGTCGTGTGAGCTACCTACACTAAGTAGTGTATTTTAATAAAAACAATAATATATAAGTTTTATACAATATATAAGTTTAACGAAATAAAGACTATTTAATATATATAAATTAATATTTAATGTTATATACATATATATATATATATATATATATATATATATATATATATTTTTTTTTTTTTTTTTTTTTCTATTTACATATTATAATATTGTTTTATTTGTCAAAACGAATAGGCATCAATATCCAAACCCTCGATGTATTCTGTTGCACTGTAGTCTTTCCCAATTTTATTGTTAGACACATTCGAAGTTTGAAGCGTTTTACATGTTAAAAAATATTTGGATATGATCAGCGTAAAAAATAAAAATTGTATGTCTAAGCACCTCCCGAATAGCGTGCACTATCACCGTCACCGCTAACTACCCTACACTGCACTGTGGACCGTAGTGTCTTTATGCAACTACCCTGGTAAAAAGACACGCCACGTTTGAAACCACGGTACGTGTTCGGTCTCTTCACCTGACGTATTTTCTTGTAATATTTGCTTGATTAATTTTGAATAAAAAAGTAAAGATTTTACTAATTTTTTTCAAAAATAAAATATATTAAAACAATGTATTAGAATAGCTATCGTTTCGTTTGTTTCATCAACCCAAATAATGTATGTATAGAGTTCTTATTACGAAATGATTAAAACATGAAGCTAAAAGCATTGCTGTAGTAATAAATAGCAACATATTTATAATTTCATGTTGTTTGTTCAACAGAGTGGAGCGGAGCAACCGGCGGACCTCCCGCCGAGGTGATATTACGTCTGCACCCTACAACTCCTCCAAGTCCTAGTGGAAATTTTTCCTTTGTCGATATTGGTTAGTACTAGAAAATTGAAATTGTGATTCATTTTTATCAGTAGTTATAATTGTCTGTATATTTGTTTTTTTAAAACAAACAAGATTTCATAAAAGGATATTAGAAACTAAGGTTCATACATATTACATTAAATTTATTAATTTTTAATATATTGAGCTATCAAAATTATATTACACTTTAATAAATAGGTAGGTATCAAACGCAGTAACGGAATGCGACGACAATGATAATACGAAAATATCAAAAAATTGCAGTTTGTGATACCCCTGATAAACTTTGTGGTTTATGACTAGACGCGACACAGTTCGGATATTTTTTCGTGAGACTTGTGCGAAGACATACCAAAAATTAAACAGATACCGTATTTTAGTTTTTGATTTTTCATTTGGTTATTGGTTGTTTAATAATAAGTTTTAACTGGAACAAAATTTAATCCTGGGTGTTTTAAAATTATTTCTTAGTATTAGTAATTATGAAAATTTCTGAATTTATTTTGTTTTAAATTTATAATTATAAAAACGCATTAGACTTATATACGATTCCAGTAGAAATGAACTGACATCGTGTCAGTCAGATGGCACTCATCAAATGTACCACATATGTAGAGAATACTTACCTCCTTACTCTGCGGCATCATGCGGGTAATTTACTCTAAGATTTTTTCGTATAAAATCTTTTCACTTGTCGCATTTCGTCGTTCACCTGAGACAACGATTCAATAACGACACATTTATATGTCTTTAATTTTATTTATCTAGTGTATAAAATAAAATAATAATCGATATTGAATATGTAGTTTAATAATAATATTTACATCCGCACTAAGATATATGCGTTGAGATTAATACCTTTCAGTTCATTATACACATATTTTAAAGCAAATTTGCGTTTCCTAGATGATGGCGGAGTCGTAGTACGGGCCGAAGAAGCACTTATAGTGACGTTCGTTCTCTTACTGTGGGTGGCGGCCATTGCTTTATTTTTCAATCGTTGGGGCAAGATAAGGTGTGTCTATAAGCTGTACGTAGTTTTTTTTTTTGCTTATTTAAAATGCTAGTAAAAGTTTTTTATTGTAGCTGCCGTACGTCACGACTCTGAAATAATTTTATTTCTCCAAATTTTGAAAAGTACTGGAGCTGTTATATTTTGTTATTTAAATTTTCAGAAGACCAATGACGAAGTTGTTCCCCTACATTATGTAAAATATCCAGAATGACAATGTCTAAAATGTTTAGTTTCGTTAATTTTATTTGTTATGTCATAAGTAGTAAGATTAATTTTAAAGTATTATTTACAATTTCTTCTCTTTCAGAATGTTGGAACCATATCAACCAAAATTTCAGCAACAACATCGACAAAGTTGTGTTCTTTCAGACAATACTGTTTCAGTACCTCCTCATGTGAGTATTGATTTTGTTACAATATTGTATTTGTGTATTTTATTTAAAATATACATTAGAAAGTTACATTCATCATTTTTGAAGTGAAATTTCTTTGCGCGCGATGAGGGTAACTTTTCAAGGCCGCGTCACGGTAATAATAATATGAGCATCAGATTTTAGTGCGACGATTTTAAAGGAGACAATTTATTTTTGTATGAAGAATGGGTCAACCACAAATTCTAAGGATTCTTAATGAAATGCATGTCGACTTATTCCTTATAATCTATAGATTAAAATAGTATTATTAGTTTTACTGCATCTAAACGGAGTATTGAGAAATTCACAATTAAAATATGAATCTAACAATAACCTAAAAACAAACTGAAAGCAATTTTATAATAATTTTCACCAGTATTACAATTTAAAATAGTATCTAATCTTCAATAATTATAGTACATACAAAATAAAGTTGTAGATATATTCAACATTTATAGGTACTTTAAGATCGATGGAATGTCTTTTCATTAATTCCGGCAAAATATAGCGCCTGTCTGTGCACATATGTACATGTATTGATTGATTATGAGTGTACATTCCAAATACCATTAAAGTAATATGATTAAAGCCAAGATGACTAAGGGATAATATGTCCATTTATATTTATAATATTACTAACACGCGGTAAGAAATATGTTTTAAACTGGTTGTATTACAAAAGCAAAATATAATTTAACTCTATTCATCGTTGTAAATCATAATTTCTAAAGTATTCAATTAATATGTAGTAGTACAGAAACAGAAACATTATATTTAATAAAGATTAAAAAAATAATACTTATTGAAAGTCACTTATTTTTTTACTTTATCACTGCACTGGTTCGGAAAAAAACCTCTGTCTTGGGAGAAACCAGCAAGAAATCCAGTGAGAATATTTTTTAAATAACAGCACACGAATATCAAAACAACTTAATATTGTCGCACCAAATATCCAAATGGCAGCAATGCACTCATCATCACAACAATTGGCAGCAATAAAAACTGGTGATATTTGTATTAATGAGTGTGAAACTCTGTCAAAAGCTTGTCGATATCATACTTTTTTGCATCATCAATTACTTGCATACAGCCATGGAGGTGCTGCTCTTCTTGGTACGGTATATGATAAGATACCGCTTATATTAAGTGGTGATTTCAATGTGAATTTTGCATCCCATAATTCAATACCGTTAAAAAACTTTTTACATGACAAATTTAATCTACAAATGAATAATACTCCGAATATGTCAACAAAAAAAAAATCCGAAACGACAATAGATGCTACTTTTACACGATATTTACAAAACATTGAGTCACAATCACAAAGCAAAGAGTCACAAAGCTATGGTGACAACTATACCAGTACAAACATCATCAGATGTAAGTATAGAAGAAATGAATTGAAAACATATAATTTGTAACTTGTGCAATTTTTTCTTATTTTAATCCTTCGAATACTACTCCTGAATCCTTTAAGTACTAAAATAGCTCTATTTTTTATATTTTTTCCAGTCTTTCATATTGATCCTTCATTAATAATTTATAAGTCACAGCTTTGAAATTTTAATTGCCAAAGAAGTTTCACTTCTGACATGCGTTCTCTGTACATACGCTGTTTCGTTTATATGATAGGGTAACAAACGAGCACACAGTCCACCTGAAGGTAAGTGGTTGCTGTGGCCCATAGACATCTACATTTATCCACGATTACGAATCAAAATGCAGATGTATTGTTACCCGTGAGCTAAGAGGGAATGCCTCATTTCCAGTAAGAAGGGTCTGCGGTTCTCTACATTTACTATATAAAACACAGCAGCATTAAGCTACTATTTTACGCTGGTATTAAGTGAGAGCGTAGTCCTTCCCCGGTCGAGCCGACCCATTTGTGCTACATTTATACTACTAATATAACTGCAGCTTGGCCCTACCGCTTATAAAAGCTTAATTAGATTCGAGTCAGTAATTAATTTTAGCGCAATGTATACTACTGTTACAAGCTTGGGGTTCGTAACAATAAAAACTGCCGATTGAATCACCAAAATTGACACCTTAATTACCGAACATCAATTACAAATTCAAATACGCTAATAATTAATCCAATGATCACTTTAGTTCGCAGTTATATCGCATTGAAGTATTCTCTTGAATTCCCAATTCAATACTGACTGGGTCACGGTCCTAAACGGTCTTATATAAGACCTTTTCCACTGAAGCATCTGGAATGTTCGAGCACATACCAGTCCCGACCAACTAGGTGTAGAAAAATGTAGTATGGAATTTTCTAGAAATATTGGTTCTACTATTCGTTACTAGATGGCGCTAGTGCCATGTACCAGGCATTATTTATGGCACGCTACACTACTTTACAATAAATCCCAGAAAGTAGTAAGTAGTAAGTTGTCAACAAATTTTAAAGTCTTTATTTAACAAATATTGTTTAGAAAATTTATTATAATATAAAGTAATTTATAGATGACAATATTCCCTGGAATGAAGTGATCCCTACCACGCCATTATCTCTAATAAAATTTGTATAGTTATTTCTGTAACATAATACATGATTGTTAACTTTTTTTTAAAAAAAGAAATGACCCACTGGGTTTTCTAATAGATTTTCCCAAAGGTGTTTTCCGAACCGGTGGAAAATAAACAAAAAAATGATTTTTAAGAATTATTTATAATATATTTCAAATAAAATCTATTTCTATTTTTTTTATCTAACTGTATTATGATCATTTCGTTCTTTTTTTTAATGTTGAAAATTAAGATTAATGTTAAATTTATTATCAATCTGTATAGCATCGAGCCTCCGTATCACGTGCTTGCGTATCATATGACTACGGACCTTCCTTTTCATCGTATCAACCTTACGGCTACCTTTCTCATCGGCCAAGACAGGTACCTTTCAAATAAATATTTTTAACCTATTAAAAACTTTATTATTTACAATTAGAGTGATATATTGCATATAGCTTGTGTAATGTTACCGCCTCCTATTTACTCCTCATATAACATATTTCGCCAAATGTTAACATCACCAGCATGCGACACACTTTGTTGCTTAACGAACGATCCTCCTAATTGCGGGAAATATATACAAGAATGTCGAAATCAAATTCTATAAACCAATAATAACCAGTGCGTGGGTATTGGCTATATTATCACCAACGCATCTGCCCAACGAAGTGTGTATTCAAATGTGGGTAAATTTTATAAATGCATAATCGTATGTATTTATGCAACATAACACTTGCAAAAATCTACGTCCAGTATTAAACTCGTAAAAGGGCTGACGGTGAAGATGATTATGACGATGTGTCCATTTATATTTGTTTATGTGTATGTGTGATGTTTATTTTATTACTCGTATTTGGTCATGCTTATGAGTATGAGCCATCAGTAAAACACCATTAAAAACCAACCCGTAAGCAATCTATACTGTAAAATGGAATTGTGTTAGCTATTTATATGGTAAAACAGAATAGTGTTCACCGTTGTGTTCTGGTTTTAAGTCAAAGGAACTATTACTTTGTTATGTATTTTATTATGTACTCAATTTCTTATTATCTAATGAGACAATCGAACTGAGTCCTCAGAAAGGTGAAATTTAATCAGTAACTATCTGTTATATTATGTACTGTAGGTGCTGTGAGCTCTTTGTAATGGGATTTAAAAATAATCTGCATTGAAATTTATTCAATTTTGTGGATTTAATAAAATTGATTTTAACGTGTATAACTTTAACTCTTTTTGTTCTCCACGTTTCGAGGGCTTTACAGCGTCCTTTATCACCATGGTGCTGGTGAGTGATGGAAGTTAAAGATAAACGCGATAAAATCTATACAATTATTTTAATTTAAAGATTAATAAATCATTTAATTTTGCAGAATTCAGTATTTGTTGGAAGTGTAGGTGGAATGGCTCTTATACCAGAAAGTCCGCCCAGGCGATCGCGTTCAGCTGCTGATCTACCAGCGTTAGTTCCTTCTCACGATATTTCTCACAACACTCCAAGGTCTTCACGCGCAGCGAGTCTTCATAGTGCTGTAGATTTAAGAGTCTGCGTACCTTCACCGAGGGCCTCAAGAGCAGCTAGTCTTCATTCAGCTGTTGATATGCCGGCAGGTTCTGTTCAAGTACACGTTAGAGGATCCGTAACGAACTTAAATAGACCGAAAAGCCCCCGGAGACTCACTATAACCAATGTATAAACGATAAAATAAAACAAAAACTAAATTAATCTATACCTGAAAACAACTAGTCAGTTGGTTATAAAGGTCCAAAATATGTTTATGAATGGAATGGTATGTTTTTATTACGTTCTAAATAAATATGATTTACATTAGTAAGTATTACTACTATAAAATTAAGACTGTGTGGTAACGAAATACATACTTAAACGAAACACGTAAATTACTGAGTAAATTTCTTTGTTTCGAAGTTTTAACAATAAAAACGTAGATTTTTAATGTAAACAATTAGTTTTAACTCTTGTGGTTGAAACCTAACTACTTTCATGAATTATTTATTTTCATAACGAAATTAGCAAATGATTATCATTATAACATCCTTCATAGATTTAAATTAGATTTAAGATCTACAAAACTATGTCTGTCTAAATTCCTTGTAGATTCTTTAGAAATCTAATCTCTTTTCTTCATATCTTTAGAGATAATAATATATATAGGTTACTTAAAAAATGTAAATAGCATATTATACTAATTTTAAACTATCGCATGACACTGTGGTGCTACTTCATGTAATGATACAATATCAAATATTTTTTATAATTCAGTACATATTAGAAACGCATCCCTTGTAATTATTCTGGGTAAACATGATTCTTATTTTTATTCATATTTCCATGCACCTTGGATGGGATAATCCTGTTCCTGTTAACGTGTACATAACAAGTCACATTTTATAAACTACACTAAAAGGCACTAGTGAATTATGAGAATTTTCATACAGCGAATGGTATGTAACGGGTTTGGCATAATAACTTAACTCCTGTTTGACAGTAATGAACCTTTAGTATTATATTTAAATATATCCGAAATCTTTAATATTTTAAAATAATATAGGTATTTTAAATCATATACAGGTTGTAGAAGCGACGTAAGTCGAAACTTCTAACGAGGCCATACTAGTTACCAGAAAAATATAAAAAAAATCAAAGTATTAATTAGTAGTGTTTTTCAGAAATTATAATACTTTTTTCTTTTTTCGATAAAATTTCATTAAAACGATTCTAGTGCAACCAAAGTGTTCCTAATGACCACAGCGTGGTTTAAATGAGATAGAGACATTCCATAAAGTGTGAGCGAGACAGATAGTGACGCTTATGAGACACAGACGCAAATACAAACTAAAGTAATAAAATAATGGTTATAAAATTAAGACAGTCAGTTTCGTTTTTATGATAAAATTTATTACTTATTTTTACAAAAGATGTTCAAATTGCCGTCCTTGAGCTGCAATACAAGCCCGACATCTTCTTAAAAAAGATCGTGAAATCAGGCGGGCGAATCTTCCATTATTACAAAATTCAACTGCTTCCGCTATTCTCTGTCTAAGCTCTTCTACACTTTCAATCGGCTTGGAATATAATTTTTCCTTCACTGCTCCCCAGTAAAAAAAAATCTAGAGGATTTAAATCGGGTGAGCGGGCGGGCTACGAGATCGGACCAGGCCGCCCTATCCAGATGGATATGGCCCGCTCGCTCACCCGATTTAAATCCTTTAGATTTTTTTTGATTTTTCCAGATATTCCTCGTTAAGGTGTTCTCGAACTAAGCGGCTATAATGCGCTGGACAACCATCTTGTTGGAACCACATATCTCTGAAAATAATAAGCGGCACGTCCTCCAGCAAATTGGGTAAATGATTTTGTAAAAAATCTAAATAATTTCAGCATTTAAAACTTCTGACAACTTGAAAGGCGACTTTTTTCGTTAAAAACTCCAGTCCACATGTTTATTTTGAAACGGTAATGTGATCTATCTTGTCTCATCATCCGTGGATTTTCAACGTGCCATTCGTGTAGATTGTGTAGGTTCATGTAGCCGTCTTTTTTTAAAGGTTGATTCATCCGACCACAAAAAAATTCTAAGAATTGTGGGTCTTCTCTCTTCTCTTCTCATCAACTGCTTGACAGACTACTTCCTCATAAGGTAATGAAATTCTACCTTCACCATGCATTTGGTTTGGCAGTCGGCCATCAGAGAAAAGTAGACGGTGCACATTGATAAAAACTCTGTGATTTGGATAGCGATCAGCATTAGGGTATCTCTCGCGATACCGTCTAGCGGCTTCACTGGCATTACATTGGCATTCCCCATAAATCAGGTGCATGTTGGCATATTCCAGTATGGTGTACACAGCCATGGTATGGTACAAATACACAATAACACGTTAGTCCAGGGAAAAGCAAAGGTCGTCGTAAAGAGATCACAAATGTCCAAATCCAAATCAAAACACGCAAACAAGTCACAGTAAACGAAGCCAAAGTGGTAAGAACAGAAGATATCACCAGCGAATACGAAAAGATGCGAAGTAAACAAAGTAGCGTTGCGTACTGATTTCACAGAGTACTTGACTGATTTGTAGTGCGTGTACCAATACCAATAAGAGGCGTCACTCCCTGTCTTGCTCACACTTAGCATGGCTCTCTGTCTTGTTCACTCATTTGCGTCTGTGTCTCATTAGCGTCATTATCTGTCTCACTCACACTTTATGGAATGTCTCTCTCTATCTCATTTAAATCATGCTGTGGTAATTAAGAACGCTTTGGTTGCACTAGAATCGTTTTAATGTAAGCTCCAAAAAATTGTTAAAAACTGACTTTGTTTAACAAAAATTTTTTATGGCTGATCTAAGAAATAATGGAGTAAGTGTTATACCACGTTAGAATCCTTATTAAATGCGCTAACTTTTAAAGCTACTTGCCAAACTGGCGTAGTAAAATTTTTTTCCGGGATGGTCAGCTGAAGTAGTGCGAAAACTAATTCTGAAAACTTGGTTCGGTATAAAATTACATTTTCTTTCAAGCTGGAGTGACCGGCACAGGGTTTAGGATTACAGGTTACAGAAGCACTATTCAGGATGACGTAAGAGAAAAAAAATTGGCAAAAGTAAATATTTGTAGCAACAGGAATGAAAAAATTGTCTCATGGTGTACATTTTATCGAAAGAAGAAAAAAAATACTATCATTTCTGAAATACATGACTTATAGTCAACCAAATCTAAGAAATACCTTTTGACGTTTCACATTAATTTGTCCGCAATAACTTTGCACCAGAGTACTCACACGATTTAAAATAACCTTTTACGTTAATCCGAGGAATTATGAAGTTATCTATATTTCATTACAACGTGTATAGTTTTTTTTATCACTAATTTAAACTTGAATTTTTCAAACAAAGCAAAATATTAAAAAATAACCAGTATTAACTTTTTGTACTTGACGTCGTTTCAATATATCATTGAAATGACGTCCAGTATCGTCGCTATGTATATTACCATAGTGTTTGGATGATTAACATTCATTGTTGTGCGAATGATCGGCAAAATATTCAAATAGTCGGTAAAAAATTTCAAATAATCGAATAATTATTTTTTTATGGATTGTTTGTTTAATTTAATTTTTATTTTCAAAATTCCTTAAATTACATGAATCATAAATAAAACAAGTTTATTTTTTACTTTGTCAAAGTAAATTTGTGTAGGCAAAAAAACAACTCATATACAAGGCCTTGCTAAAATAACCACTACATAATTTCCATATCCCGCCATTTCGGTACCAGTTACTCGACTCCACAGAGTCAGTAATTCATTCTTGGGGCGATGTATACGCTTTTAAAACAAAATCCCAGAAAATATACAATATTTGACGTAAGTACACAAAATTTAAAAACTTTATTAAACTAAGTTTGTATAAAGAGGGTTATTTTAATGTTAAGGAATTTATGGATGATAATAACCCCTAGGAAGGGTGATAGCTACGAAGCTATTTCTAATTTGTTTTGTGTTGTTAATTGTACACGCATGATGATTGTAAGCTCTTATTTTTTTTTTAAAAACTAGTCCCGTTGAGTTTCTTGCTGGTTCTTCTCAGGACAAGTTTTTTGCGAACCAGTGGTAAATGAAAAAAAAATGTCTTTCAATAAGTATTATTCATAATCTATATTGAATAAAAAAGTTTCTGTTTCTGTTTCGAGAGCTTACAGTTCGTAATTTTGTGTTCTTATTTTCTGACTCGGCTTTAACTTTTGGTTCTTCTATAATAACTTTTTGTACGTGGTAGAGCCACGCTAGATCTATATTATAGTTGTAGCACGAATGGGTCGGCTCAACCGGGGCAGGACCACGCGCTCACAGAATACCAGCGTAAAATAGCAGCGTAATGTTGCTGTGTTTCTTATGGTGAGTGTAGAGAACCGGAGAGCCGGAGACCCTTTTTACTAGAATCGAGGCATTCTATCTTAATCCTCTGAGGTGACAACGCATTTGCATTTTGATTCTTAATTGAGGATAAATATGTATGTTTATGGGCCATAGCATCCACTTACCATCAGGTGGACTGTGTGCTCGTTTGTCACCCAATACTATAAAAAAATATATTCGTTGAAGCATGTGCTCATATCACAAAGGATGATTGGGCAAAAGTGGTAGGAAAAACAAAAAAATTGATTTTGGATGACTTTGAAGGAGACATTAATTTTGACTGCATTATTGAAAATCAAATGATACTTATTGTAAATAACGACATCTCTACTAGTTGTACTGAAAGTGATTGAATAAATTTATTTATAATCTAGTTTCAATCTTAAATTTTTATAACTGTTCCTCTATAAATAAGCAGTAACAACAAATACGAAGAAACTGATAAATCTTGTGTTCTTGTGTTTTAAATTATCCGTTTTTAACTTATTCTGGTATTATTCAAACCAAACTGTAAATGATTACTAACTCTAAATAATCGATATCGATTTTTTTATGAATGTATTTCTTGGATTTGGTTGACTATAGATTTTTTTTATATTTTTCTGGTAACTAGTATGGCCTCGCCTATCAGAAAGTTTCGGCTTGACGTCGACTTCTGGGACACCCGATATAAGCATATTTCTAACATATGTTTCAATAACGTAATTCAGTACTTTGTTAATTTTTTGATTACTGAAGGCCAAAATTGATGTTAATGTTAAAAGA